GGGCCACAACAAGGATTTAACAGCCTCTTTGACTGCTACAATATCGTACAGATTTACCTGCTGTTTCCTCTGCCATACAACGGTTTTGGTTTTGTTCAGTGGTGTGTGGATTTGTTTGAGGAGGCGCAGCACTGCGGGGGAGGTGGGCACACTGCTATCACAGCCTCCAATATGTCAAAAGTAATTAGGCTGATCGGAGAGTATACCCTATCATGCACAAAGAGGTGTGTGCTGTGTGCCGTTAATTAGACTGATGAGTGTGCACTCTAATAAGCCAAGCGTAGACTTCTTCTCTTTTAAAATGAGAATTCACAAGGCAGGTTTGCAGATATGGTTTGGTTATACTGTGCCCGTACTCCTTGTAATTGTACAAAGATAAGAAGAAAATCAGCCAATGAATTGTCGATCGAAAGAAAATGAGTCAGTCAATGGATCATTTTGCAAAAAAGGACAAAATGCTCGCATTTCACTTGTTTAACTGACTCAAAATATGCTTATACGTTTCAATACGAAGCCTTCTTCAGAGCGCTTGATGTAAACACATTCAGTTCAGTAATAAACACGAGGGCAGAGTTAAAACACAGCCGAGTGTTGGATTCAATTATTTAGGAACCAATCACTTTTCTTTTCCCATGGCTCTAGATACAGGGACCAATCACAAGCTCATAATCAAATTTGATCCAAACCATTACATACAATATTGAGCTCCACAAAACACTGTTTCTGGCCTTCATTGTGTTACTGTTCAAATAAAAAAGGGGACACTTGAATCAAAATAAATATTTTTTCAAAATGTTTAATTATAGGCTGGTATTACTGATGATCATATATCATCAAGAGGTCAGTGTTCACATTTGTAGTCGGCGTAGGTTTGCTTCAGCAAAGTGTTTTGCAATTGCATATTCCATTCTGCTTGTGCAGATTGCAGTTTTATGCTCAGATATTCAGTGTTTCAGGCGTTGTTCAGTTTCTCAGACATATGCCACACCACAGGGACATAGTAACATATAGATCAGATGTGTTCATTTACAGTTTAGCGGACGGGAACTTTCCTCCCTTTGTGGGGAAGATTGATCGATTCTGTGCTTGTTGTTTTGCTGCAGCAGACGCAGTTCCCACATGGACACACATGCCAGTTGTTGTCAGCCATGTGGTCTTGTTTTGAGTCATATCTTTGTACGTGACAATACTTTTAATTGTGGGTGCTGTCCTGAATGAGTGAAAGGGCAAGTGATTTGCATTGTTTCAAGCAGAAGTGGTTCTGCTTGAAACACATGCCGGTGTCTCCTGAGTGCCTCTTTAATCTGTAAAGCACAATGGTCGTATTCTGCAGAGAAACAGGCCAGGCTTGAATTCTTTGTTGTTGTTTTTTTGCTCATTAGATAAGAGATTAGAGCGAGAGGTGGTGTTTACAAGATGCAGGGCTGTCTGATGTTATGTATGAACAGTTGTGTTTTAACCTCAAAAATTGACCAACTGGGATTATATTTTACTGGGATGATTGCTAGCAGCATGCAATATTGAGTTGCATTGTCTTTTCTGTAGATGGAAGTATGGCTCCAGTTTCATCTGCTTGCACGGTCAAGTTCAAGTGATTGATTTGGGCAGTGCTGTATTCACAGGTTGTTTTCAGGAAACTGGAGCTGTTATTCCCCCTGCACCCCCTCCCAACATAACACAATGCCATAAACAGACCATTTGTATAGCTTTGTCTTTGAGTGATATGGGTTGTTTTTGGGGTGATGTATAACCGTTTCTTTCCATTTTCCCCCAACCAATCCCGCCACAGAGGGCACTGTCCCCATTGCAGTCCATTTCTCTTGGAGGTACCAGTTGTATTTGTATGGCATAGTTACAGATTATTAGCACAGCGACTCAGAACGAGGTGTTGCAGTTCAATAGGAATGCTTTGGTTGGATTTTGGGTTGTTTGTGTCTCGGATCGATTAAAGGTAGAGTTCAAAGCCTCTTCATGGGGAATGCAACCATATACGTTTTCTACATCAAGGGAAACCAGTTTTCTGTTCTCATTCAAAGTGCAATCACTCAGAACATTCAGTACATCTTTTCTGTCTACAAGATAGGGTACTTATTGACAGAGCCTCTTCCTGAGACTATTGGCCTGAGAGTGGGTTCTGTAGGATGTTTGGGGATTTTGGGAATGCTATAAATAACGGGGGTAACTGGATGCTAGTTGGTCAGATAGGCACACAATTTTTTTTTTGATCGCAAATGAAATATGCGCAAATGAAATATTCTTACACTGGTCGACAAAACGAACAGTGTAAGAATGTTACCCTGCGCTTTGGGTAATTATGAGGAGCATTTTCAGATGTTCCATGTTTGAAACCTTGACGTTTTATAGGTAACTAGTGCGGTCCTTGTTCAAAATGTGCCCGTTTCGAATGGTTGGAAATGATTGCTTGGCCTCCGGGATTGTTATTTACAGCTTTCTCGAGAACCTCTTCGTTGCATCATTTGTCATTTGATGTGTGTACATAAGACACTACTAATTAATATATCTCGTTCTCAAAAGATAACACTCGACACTGGAACTCAACACACTGGAAGTATGAAGTCGACTGGATGAACGGTTGTCGAGAAAATCAAAGAGCAGCCAGCCAGAAAGAGACTCCTCCTATTTTAGTTTGATGAGGTGCTGCTGTAATGGTCAGGATACAAGAGATTTTCAATGTTCAATGTGAGATTTAATAAAATAGATTAATCAACAAAATAAACATAATCAGTTTCATATTTTCATTAATTTATTGAATATATGATAAGAAGTCTTTTCAATGTGTACACCCACATTACTCGCCCTGCACTTGTTCTTAATGCTCAAGCTGTGAACAGTATGCAATAACATGAAGTGATGAATCACAGAGGTCTCCCAAGAGTTCCTGGGCATTGTGGTGCAATCAATTTTCAATATACGTATACCAGCACAGCTTGTATATGCTAAAAGTGCATTAGAATATGCCTTGAATACCCTGTTCTTGAAATAGAAATATGGTGGTGTGGTGGAGTATGACACTGCACAGACGTTGTTCTATTCTTCAAGCAAAGCCCTGTATCAAATCCCGTCTTCTCTGCTGGAAGGTATAGCTTGTAAGACTACATGAGCTATTCCAACATCTCCTCTGTCAACATTGTTTTCTCTCGATATTACCATTTTTCTTTTAAGCCTCTTTTTTTTTTTTTTTTTTAAACCCAAACTTCAAAGACCTCTGAACAAGCAAAATATGCAAGGCAGAAATAAACTATATTAAGTCTATATTCTGCTGTGGATTGGTGTTTGAAAATCTTTGTTGACAACATGCCACTAAACGCACTGAAGCTACAAATTAGATGGTGACAATTGTCACCGTTTGAATAAGCTTTGGTCCAAGACTTTTGACAGTCAACCACATTTTCGTGTGACAAGCATTTTTATATTCACAAACGACCTTCTCTCCCAAGGGAGAGCTGGAAAACTGGGTTCTGCTGTAATTAGGCTCGCTCGCTGGCAAGAAAAAGAAGCACCCAAGGTAGAGGGTGAGATAAAAGACGGGGAGGTAGAGTGAAGGAGAGGATGAAGGTGGGGGGGATGTGAGGAGGAGGAGGGAGGGAGATAATGAGAGGCAGGGTGACGGATTGAAAGGGTGCAAGAGGAGGAGAGCATGTCAAGAATCAAGGGGGCTGTTTGCCTGTGGCTGCCTCGTGGTGTGATGTCGTTGAATCTTCTCACTATGTTTTATTACAAAGGACTATGTGTTGAGGTCTGTATTGTCAGCATGCCAACTAACTTATGTCGACTTGAGCGTCACAGCCGGTCCGCTTCCTGTCAATTTTGCATACAGCGGCTTATTTCACCCACAAGTAACGTAGGAGAGCTAAGAAACCGCCTGAGCAAAATGGTGTTTAAAAATTATACAACAGCTTCCTGTGTGGTTCAAATATTATTTAGTTTTTTTACTTTTCGTCTAGTCTTTTAGTTGCAGGAGAAGTAGCATTTCATGCACATTTTATAGATTGCCATCTTGCTCCTCTGTCTGAACTAGAACTACCAATATGTAATGAAAAGTGTCTCCCATAACCTCCATCCTACATGTTAGATATCATGTGGTTTTCCTTTACTTACTGTAGGTTGCCATTTCAACATTAATATGAATGGACATTGTTGGCGCGTAAATCATTTTTTCTCTCATGAAATTTCTCTCATTTTCTAATTTTCCAGCCTGCATTGGATCTACATTGCATCTACATACCAGACAGAAACTAATGTTGACATCTGTTTTTTTTGTTTTTGTCAAGTCGGCTAGCTTTGCATTCATCTGTGTTGCCGTCTGAGAGGGAACATTTAGCTTAGCGATGCAGTGTGTGTACAGCGCTCAGTGTGTCTCCCTGCTGTGATTTAATCAGGTTAGTATGTGAGATTACTGTAGCAGATGAAGCTGATAATGTAGGTTCAGGTGGGGACATGTGGTCGTTAGTGGCACCCACATCAGCTGAGGGCTACCTACACACATTCACATGATGTAGTTGTCTATTTAATTGCTATTGCCGGCACTGACTGATTTATCCTGAATGTAGTTATTATTTAAATAGTGGTTAAAATGATACTGCCGCCGCCTTCACCCTCACCCTTGGCCTTTACTTGACGTAAGACAATGTTGCCGGTAATTGCTTTCTGTTGCTGTCTGCTAGTGCTAATGCTAACTGCGCTCTGCTGCTAACCGTCCCCTGTTGTCGCCAACTATTACAGCTGTTCCAAAGCTGTTTCCTTGTTACTTTTGTTTATTTGTTTAGGTTTATTTGTGGCTATTATCTCTTTTTTGATAGGATGGAGAGAAAACAAAGGGGAGAAGCATTACAGAAAACAGAGTAAAGCGGGATTTTATGAATAGAAATGACCTGCATCACTATGCAGTGCTAAAGTTGGTGTCTGAGCGGACTGTTAATTAAACTCATACCTCCCTCTTTTCACCTCTCTCCTTGTCTGTCTCTCTTTTTGTCTGACAGAGACAGTGATGGATACAAGGACAGCGACAGCTGAGCTTGGCTGGATATCGTTCCCTGCCAACGGAGTAAGAACAATGTGGAGAGCTGTGATGTGCTTGTGTGTAGTCGTACGAATGTGTATGTGTACCCTTGGGGAAAGCAGTTTGAGTACACTTTACAGTGCTCTAATAAGGAGTCTGTCAAAATCCTAATTACAGTTGCAAGGTGACACCAATTAACCGCTATTGATGCAGAACAGAATGGACTCCAATAGATCAGGGAGGTGTAGCTTACAAGAGTCTGCAAATTAATAGAATAGATCAAATAAAATGGAATAAGAGGAAATAGAACAGAGTCTTCCACCCACTTTCTTGAACTCCTTTGATTTTTTTGTAAATGCTGGCTTGGCTACTAGCCCGTTACAATTGTGTGTGTGTGTGTGTGTGTGTGTGTGTGTGTTTGAGGTGAGCGGCTCTAATTGTGATGAATGGTTGTCCCTCTTCAAAAAAGAACAAGGTAGCGGGGAGAAAAAAAGCGAATGAGGATGGGACTTGGGGAGGTAGGAAGAGAGAGAGAGAGAGAGACAAAATGGTAGGGAGGGAAAAAGAAAGTTTAATTTGTGTCAGGTCTTGGTAAACCCATTAATCATTTTGGCCTCCCCTCTCATCCGTACCCCCTGCCCCGTCCTCACACACACACACACACACACACACACACACACACACACTCATACATTCCCCAGTGGGAGGAGGTGAGCGGCTATGATGAGAACCTCAACACCATCAGGACGTACCAGGTGTGCAACGTGTTTGAGCCCAGCCAGAACAACTGGCTCCTCACGACTTACATCGATCGGCGGGCGGCGCAACGCATCTACGTGGAGATCCGCTTCACCGTACGCGACTGCGCCTCCATCCCCAGCGTCTTGGGCTCCTGCAAAGAGACGTTCAACCTGTACTACCTGGAGACTGAAAGGGCCGTGTCAGCGGGCATCAAAGGGGTGGAGTACTGGGCCAATGCCCCTTTTCTTAAGGTAATGAGTCCAGAAAAGAAGAAAAGTGTGTTGTTGGATTATAAATTGGCATTTCAAAGTATAATTTGGACGGTAATCTTAATGTTAAACACCCTCATTTTTTTCATTTAACATGGGAGTGCTAAGTGCTGTAGTACACATGGCCTTAATCAGTTCACCCTGGAGAAAATGTAGCACAGAGGCTAGACATCTGACACCTGTGCTAATTCAGTACATTGGATTGGAGAACCCATTAGATTATCTGAAAATGTCTCCGTCACAGAGTTTACACCAGGATTTATTTTTCCCTAGCCTAGGAAATGTTGTCATTTTGGAGATACATTGTTTTCACAGGAAAGTGACAATATGCAATCCGAAAGAAAACACTGCACAGATCCAAAAATGAATCGATAGTCCAGAAGCGGATCACAACAAATGCTGATTTTATTGAACAAAGTCTACAAGGTTCAAATTTCCTCTAGGTGTTAGAATTGAACACTTACTTACTGATTGGATGTGTTTTTTCTAGTGCTCTTTGGTAATAATTATCTCCTAAAAATGTAATTGACACTGCCTCGTGTGTTTGCGGCTTTTCAATTAACCAAACTGAATCAAGTTTCCGTGTAGTTTCACACTGTTTGTGTTGATTAATCAGAGTGTTGGAGAGCATCCAAGTGTTGGAAATCTCCTAGCAGCCTCCTATCATCAAGGTTAAATTCTGACTAAATTCTAAAATAATGAATTGATACAGTATGTGGTCATACAGCATTTATCCAATATTATACAGCAGATTCAAACATTACTTAGTGAATCTTAATTAAGAACCAAGAAACGGGGACAGAAGAACCTTAAATAATTCTCTTTTCTTTCTTTTGCCACGCCCATCCTTCCCTCTGTCTGTCTCTGTCACTGTAAGGTGGACACCATCGCAGCAGATGAGAGTTTCTCCCAGGTTGATTTCGGGGGAAGGCTAATGAAGGTGAACACAGAAGTGCGGAGTTTCGGGCCACTGTCCAAAGGCAAAGGCTTCCACTTGGCCTTCCAGGATCTCGGTGCTTGCATGTCCCTGCTGGCTGTCAGAGTATTCTACAAGAAATGCCCCAGTGTGGTGCAGAACTTTGCTTTTTTCCCAGAGGTATGGACCAGAACTAACTGAAAACTGTGGTGCTCTTTTCATCAGACTTTGGTGCAGCATGTATACAGACATTCAAGTATATATATATTTTTATGATTCTGACTCTCTGCAGACACTGACTGGAGCAGAGTCCACTTCATTAGTCATCGCTAGAGGAAACTGTATCCCCAACGCTGAGGAGGTAGACGTGCCCATAAAGCTCTACTGCAACGGAGACGGAGAGTGGATGGTACCCATCGGCAGCTGCAGCTGCAGAGCGGGTTATGAACCAGACAATGGCAACGTGTGCCGAGGTAAATCTGTGCATTAATGAGGCTGTGCCAGTCCAAATTGTGCTTGTGAAAAATGAAGAGGCATGTGTGCTGTGTTAATTCTCCTTATTTAAAACCTGTTCTGATGACCTTGCTACAGCAAACACTGTTGCATGCTGCACACAAATGTCATATTGTTTTGTAGCACAAGTCAATGAGCCGCTGTGACAGCAAATCAATATCCAGCAAATATGCTTCTCATCAACCGTAGCAAACATGCTATAGCAGTGGGCAAATATCTCACAAAACATACAACACAAAGGTATCACCAAGCATGCTAGAATTTAGTTTCAACCTTAATTCTATAATAATTTGTGCGTGATACAAATATGGTATTGAAATTATATTTTGAACAAAATATTTGCATATCCATTCTCTTTGTTTTTCATTCACTAAGACAAATGTGCCATATTTAAGTGCTGGCCTGCTTTACAAAACATGGTGGACGATAATGCTGAGTCAATTCTGTTGAAAGCGTTTAAGGTATTATGTGTAAGTGTGTCATTTCTGGCAGTCCTTGCTGTTTAATGTATACATTTCCAGATGTATTTTTGCCCAAGGGTGAGATGTTCCATATGTCAATATTAGTAGAAGCAGACTTGGGTGAACATGGCACAGAAATAGCTCCTCTACCTCATTTACCTCCTTTTTATATCTGGCCTCCTTCCCCATTTCCTCTCCGAAGTAGTACCCATCATTTCTTATTCTGCCTGTAGAGTCTCATCCATTTTGTGTGTGTGCAAGAGTGTGTGTGTGTGGGGTGGGTGGGCGTGTGAGCATGTGTGTGTGTGATGTATGTACATATGGTGAAATGATAAGTGAGGCCGCTTCATCCCATGTTAATTACTTTAGCGTGTTCCAGCCAGATTAGTCTACTGCAAATTAGTCCTGAACTGCCAGAGAGTGTCGACAAGATAGAGGGGCATCTGGAAGGAAGGAAACAAGGCAGATAAAGAAAGTACAGCAGAGCCCTCTGGAGAATTGGACTGACAAGGAAGTAAAAAAAAGGACAGAAAGGTAAAAACTGTGAGAGTTGAAAGAGATAGAGAACACAGAAGGGACTGATGAATAGTAGTCTATCTATCTCCAGTGAAATGCGTTCAATTTGAGCATTGCCTTTGGTGTCGGTGTCTCTTTTGCACAGAAATACTTTTTCTTCACATCATATTTGTGTGCATAGAATGCCAGAAAAGATTCATGGGAGACAGTGATTAAATCTGACAATATTACAGGGCTGTTGATTGCCACTGCAGAAGGAATTACGGCGAAATCTTCCCAGTCATTTCTGTCGATCTCTTAAAAGACATCGAGCTTGCAATTGCTGCCCTTGAAAAACCAAACCAGAAAGAAGATATGACAAAATATTTTATTGCAATAATAGGTTTCATATCAGTTGATACGTTGAGTAAATTGTATATTCATGACGGTATAAATTAGTTGCGTTTCAGCTTGAAATGACCTCATAGGAGATTCACAACCTGAAACATGACACAAAAAAATCATACGAGCAGAAAACAGAATATCTAATTAGATCCATAAATTAGACAGCACCCATTGGCACCATGTCTTTTGCTATTAAAAAAATGTGTGAAGTAGTAACGGAGGCAACACTATACTGATGTTACAGTTTGTTAGTGTTTCTGGTGATGGGTCTAATTGCTGGTGAGAATGCACGTGCTTATGCTTCAGGTGATGAACTTAGGTCATGGTATTTCCTGTCCATGACGGCACAGGTTTTCCCTTTTCTTAACCCATCTGCTTCGTGTCACTTTAAATAGCGTTAGCCGGGCTCTTTCTGATACTGTATCATCCACTGCGTGACCAAACAGGACATTAAGTAGCCAGCGTATCTCCACATTTTGTCCACAATCTTTCCATGTTGTAACTATGTAGCTGCTGATCTGGGTGCCGACATGAAATAGTTTCCTCAAAGGGAGTGTTTCTCTCCCATCCAACTTCAGACATCAAAAGAAAGTGGTGTTTTAAGCTACTCAACCAATTTTTCAGTTCCTGTAATACTGCTAAGTGATTGGTTAGAAACAGCTTTGTTTCTGTGTTGGGATCGGGTTATTTGTAAGTTGTCACGCAATGTAACTTATGGACATTATATCAAAGTTTCAAATTTTCTGACAGAGAAAATGTTCCATTGTGAAAACTGTTCATATTGTTTGTATGGCCCAGCTGTACTGGAAAGTCATACTGGATGCAGTCTTGACAGTTTCCAGGTACACCTGCCTTGTGTGTTTCATTTAATGCTTTAGTGCTTAAACTGTGATTTGAGATGTCGTGGGACGGAGCCTGTCCCGCCTGTCTGCGTCAAGCTGGCGTCTTTTGGGTGTGCTCTCCTGCCAATCAGCTGATAACAACTTGGCAGGAAACTGGACTGACTATTGGAACAGATGGTTGTCTTTCAGTGTGTGTGGTGTGTGTGTGTGTGTGTGTGTCAGGCCACAGAGATGGTGTTTATTTTGCACCAAACCAGCATATTGTGCAAACCATCCAGCAAAACTGGCTCGACAGTACAATAAGTGTGTGTGTGTGTGTGTGTGTGTGTGCGCGTGCGTGTGTGCGTATAGTAAAGTAAACACATTTAAATAGACCCTTACTTCAAATGCATCACTACAAATGTCAGCACAACCATTGAATACACACAAACAACCCCTGCTGTGGACTTCGACGATGAGAGTTTTTTAAATCTGCAGCCTTTCACCACACACACATACACTTAACATTGTTAAAACATTTTAACAACAAACGTTCAACTAGTGCCCCTAGAATGTTACTCTCCAAAGAGTTGATTTCAAACAGTGTTTGTGTGTGCATGTAAAGGCCGTCACACACCAGGGACGGTTTTATTTTGTGTGATTAATTTGCATGTCAATATCATTTTTTGAACAGTTTTTTTGTTGTGAGTACTTTCACACAGTATGTGAATATTATGCAGCTAAAAAGCGACAGAAATATTTTTCAGAACGTCAAATTTTTTAACTTTGCATCTGGAATAAAGGCTTCAACCAATCCCGTTTTGCAGAACAGATGTATCCCAAACGTACACTATAGTGTACAACAGCATGGAGGCTCAATAGACTGTTAAGGTTGAAAGGAGAAACAAAGTTTACAAAGGCAGCGCAGATCCACTCCTTCCGTTCTTACCTTTCACACTAAAAGCCCGAGACGTACATGCTGCGTAACAAGAGGCAAATTCAATCAGAGCATTTTGCTAAAAGGAACCTCAATAGAACAGCTTCCTGTGTCTTAGGCCAACATCAATTTAACTTAAACGGTCCGATTGGTCCTCTGTCTGCACAAAGCTATTTGAACCTTTAATTGATGCGCCTATCACAGATTCCTATCGCTGCCGGTATGAATACTTTTGATGCAAAATATTTTCTGATGATGTTACATGAATAAATGTCTTTTTAACATATTGGAGGCAGATCAGATTTTGACAAAGTCCCTCTGTCGTCAGACAACATTTTGGCGGTTTTATTCTCTATAAATGGTACACTACCGTTCATGTGTAACAACATGCACTTATAGTGTTCGTATAGAGAGAGCTGGACCCGAGGTGAGAGAGATAACTATCGGCTACAGAGTCATTTAACAGAGAGGAAAAGGAGCGAGACTTGTTGCCATGGTGACACGCCCCACGCGTATGAGCGAGGTTGTTGAATAAATGACCTCGACAAGCCAGATGTCTATCTGACTATTGAAGGCACAAACAGGTAGAGAAAGGTACAGGCCACTGACACCTCGGAGAGAGGTCTGCATATAAAGGAACTGATAGAAAGGGAGACTGACACCGACTGACACAGAGGAGAAGGAGTGAAAGTGTGTCTGACAAATAGGGAGGATTAGAGGGGAACGTTGGGAAAACTAGCTGAAGATAATTTGAACAAGTGAGATGAAATAATGGCTTGAGTTGAATTTCAACCAGTACACACACTTTGCAACCGGTTTCAAGGGTACGAGACTCTCTGCCTTTCACAGCTGTTCACTTTAAAAAAGTATTTTTGGGGCATTTTTATGCCTTTATTAAAGACAGTTGAGAGATGACAGGTAAGGAGGGATCTAGAGCTGCAGCTGCCTCAATCAAACTGGGGACATTGCAATTCATGGTCGCCACTGTAAAAGCAACTGTTTGCTAACTAGCAAACAGTTGCTTTTACAGAGCAATGTTATTGTTCACTTGAAGTCTTGTTTCTGGTGCACACAAGTTCAATATCCACTCTCATTTAGCTCCGTCTTTGGTCTCTACCAACTCCTGAGGGAAATATGTGACTTTAGCTCGTAAATACTCAACTACGTTCACCAGAGGGCTTTTCAGCTAAAACAGCCGCATTCTACGGCCGAAAATGCTGTATGAAAGCGGTGAGAGTAGAAATGGTTATCGTTAGGCTTTTATTAATACTAGTACTCTTAACGATATTGCCTATTGGCTCGGTTCCTTATTGATACGCTTGATTATTTTGTGAAATACAAAGACAATTAATGGTAGAGGGAGGGGGGATGTGCTGGGTCATTTCTGCAGCCTCAGCATCTACAAAACGTTCCTAAATCCTTAAAATACAGTCACAGCTAAACATTAGCTAAGTAACAGGTAGACTGTTCTTTTTATCAAACCGCTTTGGCAAAACTAACGTTACCTGCAGTGGACGAGGATGGTCGTCTGCTCGCCAAACAGTGGAAAACAGTTTTGCAGATTGATGTTCTGCTTGTTGGCCAAAGGTTTTTATAGATTGCTGGTATGATACTTGTCTTACTTCTATTGCATTTGAGACGACGACAGTTATCAGCATCTACTCAAGTAAAATGTAGCCACACTTTCGATCTTTTTCTTCTCTCTGCCATGATGTGTGTCTCACACTGTACTGAGCTGGAGTCGGTGTGTGTGTGTGTGTGTGTGTGTGTGTGTGTCAGAGTCAGAGTAAAGCACAACTCCGCCCCTCGTGCAAAGACGAGACAGAGAGAGGAGGTTTAAAGGGAGGTCGCTGCTTTTTTTTCTTACTCCGTAACTTCCAAAGTAACGATAGTAAAACCGTTAACTCTGGACCTTATCGATACTCCGGGTATTTGCTACTGTCTTATCGGTTCCCCTTTAGAACCGAGTTTCGGGGAGAATCCCTAGACATCCCTAGACAGATAAAAAAGGAGCAGAAAGTTCATATTGAATACAAGCTTGATTAAGTCCTGCCATATGATATGGAGTGTACTTCATATCTGAGATGCAAGTAGTCTTTTCAAGCTCTGCGGTTCATGCACAATGTAATATGCAGTAAAAAAAATGGGGGCAGAGCACAGCATCCTCCATTGTAAGTCATGTTAGAACAAAAGAATCAGCAAGACCAAGAAATGACATAACAGCATTTCAGCAAAGCTGCAGAAATAGTGATATTGAGAGGGAAGAATAACAGCATTTGTTTTTGTTCCCTTTATTATGCTCTGCTCTATTTCTTAGAGCAGAAAAGACTCTTTCTTAGAAAATAGTCTTTTCTCTTTGAGTTTCCGTCTTTTTGTTTTTTCCTGACCCTTAAATCCTTTAATGTTTCATTAAGTGACACTTTGAGGCTCTTAGCTCGGTGGCACTTTGTCTAATTTACCTCTTCCCCTCAATTCCAGTTGTCATTTGGGCTCCAGTTTGTACAGACTCCGTAAAAGCCCGCATGTGCAATCCTCCTCCGCCCGCCACCATAAATCTGTGTAACATTTGCATTTTGGTCTTACAGCATCTAAAGCATCTCCGAGATAAAGTGAACATTCATTACAGCGGAGGAAGTGCTAAAGATTAATCAAACCGGGAAACAAGTAACATTAAAGAAACTCATTTGGTTTTTTACTCAGCCTTTTGGCAGAGCTTTCGTTTCAGTCTAATTTCTCATTTCACACTTCTGTTTCCCTGTTCTGCTTTCTATTTTACTTGTAGTCATAACTCAGAATGTGTTTGCCCTCATCAAAAAAAGGCACTTATGAAATCCCATTTGTTAATTAAAAGCACGTGTCCTTCTGGGATGCAAAGTACTCTCACTTAATGTGATATATTTAACTTAAGATGTTTGACCATGTCACGATGTTGCATTTCATTTGTTTAGTGAATCTTTTTCTACTTTTGCTTTAAACTAGGTGTAAGACGTTTATTTAGAATTGGCTGTCAGTCACGCAGTCAGTTGTACTGGTGCTGCTGAGGTGGCTGTGTTTTTCCACAAGTTTGAGCTTTGAGGTGTTTAATTTACCTGAGCTACTATCAAAATGCCTCCGACAAGAAAGGTAAGATTATGTAATCTAGCCTGAAAAGTGAGCATGAACTCATGAACTAGATTGATTGATTGATTAATTGTAGCTGCTCTGAAAGTTTTTTATTTATCTATTCATCATTCATTATTTGTAAACTGTTTTGGCTTGGACTTGCTTGAAAAACAGTTTTCCTGATCTCAAGAGGCCCTTCTTGTAAAAAAAAAAATGTTTTAAATAAATATTACCAGCAAACAGTTCGAGAAAACGTCTTTGAGGCAAGAGAGACATGACATTTAACAGCAGCACTATTACTAACATGCTGTGATTAATTTGATCAAAGAGATGGTAAAATTGATACAGATGGATACATTTAACCGAAACAGTAGCAGCCATGACTCTGGTCTGTGACATTATGTTCAGACAAAGGTCTAATAATAAAAAATGAATGCCAAAAATTTAAAATGCAATGGTACTTTCAGCAGACCAGCTGTAAAAAAGGGGGATGATGTATACATAGAGGTGGCATCCCAGAAACTAAAAATACAGGAAGTGGTGTGAATTGGCAGTTGTGTAACAGATGGGTATTAAATGCACATGATCCAGTGGGGGGTACCTACAGAGGCTCAGACATATGTGTAAATGGGCGCTGTTCTTCCTCAAATTCAAGGAAGCGGAGGGACACATAACAAGACCTGCTGGCATTCACATGTAATGAACTGAAGGGGAGGGCCTTCATACAGCCTGCTAAACACTGGAGATGAGACAGGCATCCCTTTACATTCTCTACAGAAGTGAAACACCGACTCCAACCTCTATTACTGGGCTTGTCTTATTCCAGATGAGTTCAGTTCAGTCGTTATTATCCCAGATGGGAAACTTGATTTGTAGTCAGGTGCACAAGATAAAAAACACAGGTACAAAACAAAAACAAAAACAGAAATATGCTAGTGCAGTGCAAATGATGAAAGTCCATGAAGGTGTATAAAAGCATGCTGTGCGCTCAGAATCAGCCATTCCTGGATGAAAAACAGTTGGTTAAAGGGAAACATCATCTTTAAGAATTCATATGTGTTTCATGTCACAAAGAATAATTCAATAATATTCATGGATAAACAACTATGACCCAGTTAAAGGAACCAGATAAATGAAACTATAATCTACAATGAAGACAATCAGTGTGACACTGTGAACGTGCACCAAATGTTTTTGTGTATCTTGTTCAGATAATGTGCTGCTATTCCCAGAGAATCCCCCTCTGTGCTTTGTCAACCTTATACCACCAGTAATAACTCCACCATTGCAGGGTCTTTCTAAAGCAAAGTTTGCCAAATGTCTTGAAATCAAGATAAACAAAAGGCGCAAACACATAGTTTATTAGTTGTGTTTCATTCATGTCCATGGTTATTTAGTTTTTAATGTTTTATCTCTCTCTCTCTCTCTCTTTTTCTTCAGCTTGCCCTCAGGGCACCTTTAAGTCGTTCCAGGGGGTAGGATTGTGTCAGCAATGTCCGCTCAACAGTCGCTCTACCATCGAGGCCGCCACAATCTGCGGTTGTCGCAGCGGCTATTACCGCGGAGACATGGACAAACCGGAGGACGTGTGCACCAGTGAGTCTGTCTTTCTCTGTCGAACAAACGCACACAAAGAACAAAAATGCATACTCGATAAACCTTTCAGGAGCATAGCTGAGTGTGATTATGCCTCAGGGTGACCGAGACGGGTTTGTGAAGGCAGATTTTTGGACTGAAGTTACCAATCGCTGACATATTACAACATAACAGCCGGTGACATCACTGACAGTCCAATATCTCATCATTGAATTAAAGGCCAATATCGGCTTTGATTTATTATTCCAACCCTAATTCCATGCACCTCATTCAGAGCTGGTGTGCCGCAATGTTCCCGTCCTTGTTTGGGGATTTGGGGAGCAGTAAGTAATAACACTGCCACACTCCTCAGGCTTTCCATTGAAGTGAATATGTGTTTAGTGTGTCAAAGAGGCTATATTGCTATGCAAGACGAGGCACAGAGTTTGAAAAACGCTGCCTCTATGTTCCACAGAGAGATGGTGTAAGTAGGTTGAGACATGAATCATTTTAGACTGTCTCTGTAGCTAGTCTCAAACTGTGAAACTGTGTGTATATAGTCTGGGTGTGTCGGTACGTGCCCGTGTTCGTGCACGCCCTGGTGACCTGAATAAAACTTAATGTTTTTCAAGGCTATAAAAAGCTCTGGTTCATTCGTGGGCGGATCATTATTTTTCTGTCTTACATTCATGAATGAATTTGCAACATTCTGACAGGAGAATGTATAAAAGGTAACCTGAAAACTGTTTGCTGCAGTGTAGGAACGTGTGCAATGTTCGAATTATGACAGTGAATATTGGCGACCATTTTGTTTCTCCACTTTAGAACTAGTTTTGATCTCTGTCTACTGTTGGGATCTGGTAGGAGCAGGTTTGGTTATTAGCAAGTATGAAAACTAAACTATTTACATTAATACAATTATTATTATCAATACAAGTATTAACATATATTAATAATAGCGGACCACCCTGTGATCAGGGACCAATAACCAAACTTGCCTCCACACGGCTCTCAACATAGTACGGCGCTAACAACACGAATAGTGCAAGCAACGGTAATATCTGCGGTTACCGCCGTATGAGCGGCAGCCTAGTGTTGTAGGCTAGCACACACATGGGCTTGCATGCACTAAAAGCCCCTGCAGACGGACCGGCTACATAAACAAAGCATAGAGAAGCTCAATCTTACTCTTTGTAAGTTGTCCCGGAGTTTGATCGATAGTTTCCTCTCCAGTCTATATGAATTGAACCAACAGCTGAAATGCACCAGAGGTTAGGTGTGAAAATAGGCTTTGAGGCACACAGTAAGCAATGTTGTTTTAAAAATAGTGACATAATGATCCATGAAAAAATCCATAGAGGCAATAAATGATGTGATTTGTCATCAATAGATGTATTCCAGTTTAAAGTTATTATTTTACTCTTGTTATATTGGGGCTACATGCTGGAATATTTTCAATAGTTTTTGTTCCTTTGCTGTTATTGCACAATCAAACCGTGTCAATACTGATGATGTATTGCAGTATATTACAGAGGGAACATAACAAATATTTTGCCTCAGTAGTTATGGAACAATTTCTGAGGTTATCCTTTTCTGACACCAGAAAAATCGCATGAAAAGCCTCACCTCAACCCAGCAGCAGCACATTGTCAAATTGATGCTGACAGATGAAGAAAAACAAAAAAATCTACTTTTCCAGTGAAAAGGTGTCGGGTGTCACCTTACTCAGCCTACACAGCTTTCTGAATTAACTTGGTACTTTCAATTCAAGGGAAAAAACACACTTAATCACAAGTTTTTTTTCAAACAAAAGCACTGGAAAAGAAGGGTTAGACTTTAACAATAGGAAAGAGCTTCAATGTATTTTTATTTGGTAAAAAAATCCGATATAAAATCTGATCAGTGAGATGGAAGCGTGAGCGTGCATGGTGCGAATAACCTGCCTGACGGAAAATCATTCCCTTAGCTTGCCTCATTGACCGCATAGGTACGGAGGACGTGTGTGTGTGTGTGTGTGTGTGTGTGTGTGTGTGTGTGTGTCTACTGTATCTGTGTGTTGTTTTTTGTGAAGTGCATTTTTGTGTCAGATTGATTCTGCGAAAGACACTTTTAAGACAGTGAGGAAGCAGAGTGGTTGTGCAGAGACGGCACTACAACTCACCATTTGAAGTGGAGCGGTTTCTATTGTTGCTGGAGTTCAAACGGACAATTTGAAATGATCATTACGACTTTTCTTACTTGTTTAGCATTTTAATGTTCACTGTATTTGCTGTGAACTCGGTGGATTTCTGACACTGTAAAATGTTTTTTGATTGATGCTATTCACATCAAAAGTAAGATTGAGTTAATATTGATTATTGTAAGTATGATTATAATGCACAGTTTCTATCTCTGTTTATAAAATTTTACTACTTCGATTTTCAACCCGTCACTGATTGTTTGCACTTTGATTCTGCAGTATAGGTGTAATACACACATATTCATATTCCACAGGGCTATATTAGACGTTTCTTATGACTCTTTGATTTAACATAAGCCAAGGTTGAATACCCATTTCATTTCTTGTTCCAGCATGTCTTGTGGATGTGTCTGTGTGGGTGTCGGGTCTGTGTGATGTGTGTGAACAGTCAAGGAGAGATGAACCCGCTAGGTTTAACCTTGTGAAAACTCTGGGTGTGCGTTTAAGACTCACTATAACACCCTAAAAGCCAGAGTTTCTCCTCAGATCAAAGGGATGAGCTGACAGAAAAGAGAGGGAACCACCAAGAGAGGGACACTGACTGACTGAGTGAAGAGCGACAGATAAAGAGATTCTTTGGCTGGCGGTGAGCTGTTAGGTCACCTTCTGACTGTTAGAGACAGGGTTCGCTGAATTATTACAGCACTGGCTGCCAGTAAGGTAAAAGTAAAGTAATCACCCTCATATTCACTGGTCAGTGTGCAGAAAACTATTCTTGCATAGCCAGACGTACCTCCACAGCGACATGTCAGCGCTAAAGAAAAGTCTACAGTAATTCCACACATTCTGGTATGGGGAGAAAAAATGCCCTGGCGTGTTTATGATTGTTTTGAAGAAATACAATATTCTTGGCCCACAATGCAGCAATAGATGCCGACTGAAATAGGCGACCAATGGCAGGGTTTTAACCAAAGTTTACATCTGGTGAGTCAGACTAGAAGAAATGTCCTGTTTCTGTATCTCTTTTCTAGAAGTTTTTCTATGGCCAGGAGTGTGAACCACTGTCCGCACTTTAATGCAGAATATAATCCTGGTAAATAGTGAATTAAGGGTTCCACAAATACACAAGATTGATGGGGCCAAGGCGATATGGAGAAAATCAAATGTCACAATATTTTTGACAGAATACCTCAACATCTGCGACAATATTGTAGGGTTGACCATTGCTGCTTTTACAAAAAAACATAGAGGAAATGACTTTACTGAAATGCTTTCTTTTAAACCAGGAAAAAGACAACACTCGTGCCATATTGCAATATTACATCCAAAATCTGGACAATATCTAGTCTCATATCAAACTAATATTGATATATTGCCCAACCCCTTTCTGTTGCAGCCCCAAGGGGTGTAAGAAGTATTTAGCTTCTTTAGATTAATGTTTATGCTTATGTTTTGTTGGAATAATTGAGGGTGCAGCTTATGATAATATCCGTATTAAAGAATTGTTTGAAAGTTGAAGAATAATCATTTATTAAGATTGTTGTCCTTTTCATTTTCTGTGGACTGACCAACTGTTTTTGTTCTATTGTCAAATCTTTATTTAAAAAAAGAGCTAGTAACTATACTGCCATTAGATAAATATTTCGGGTTGTACAAAGTTGCGTTTTGGAGGTGAGTCAGTAATGCGATGTTTCTTCTTTGTCAGCCTCAATTTAAAAGAGCATTTGTATATTTTATCTTGAGCCATGGGACACAAACTGTACTGTGGTTAGTTTGTTGAATTTTTTTACATTAGTTCGATAATGGGCCAGACTTGCTTGTGGAAAATATTGTGGGTAAAATGATGCGCTGCTTATACAACAGCTTGCTTAGCTATAAAATACCAGACATCCTGTGATAGTAAAAAAAAAATAGTGTCCATATGTAAGCCATTAGTAGGCACTGCTTAATGAAAAACAAATTATTTTCTCAAGTGCTTACCGTAATGAGGTTTGATAGCATCCAGGTGTGGCGCAGTGATTCACTTTAAGTTGACAGACTGACACAAACTATGTTGTCAAAAATGTTGTCAACCCCGCAACGTGCCATTATCTTTCTCCAGGTGTCCCTTCAGCGCCTCGCAATGTGGTCTCAGTCGTCAACCAGACATCGGTGCAGCTGGAGTGGCACCCACCACGGGACATCGGGCACCGCGACGACCTGTCGTATAACGTCGTGTGCCGCCGGTGCCACAGCAGCGAGCGCCGGGCGTGTCAGCCATGTGACGACAGCGTGGCCTTCGTTTCGGGCAAGCAAGGGTTAAAGGAAACGAGCGTGGCGATCAGCAAGTTGCGCGCCCACACATCGTACACCTTCGAAATACAGGTTTGTCCACCGAAGCTCCTTCCTGAAGCTTCATTTATTCAACATGCCTGCTGTACAGTGTTGTTAAAGGAATACTCAGATGGAAATCTTCATCTCGACTATCACACGGTTACTGCCCGTAGGCTTGAAATGTATGTTGAAAGTCAACTTGTCCTTTCTGTAGTTAGGTTTGGATCAATTCTTGTGTTAATATGCAAATAGCTGTCAGATATTCACTGTGGTGCTCAAGGATACTGGGGCTACATAGCTGCTGGCTGACATGGAGGCTTTTATGCACAGTTTCCAGTTATATTATGTTCCATCAAACCTCAAGGCCACTCTGATGCAATATAAAGCCAGGACGGTGGTGGACCTTCAATCTCCTGCTATTGGCCGCCTTTACCATCAAGGCTGGGTGTCCAAATCAAGGACGCCAACGTTGTAATTGCTAAGGGAAGGAAGGAAGTGTGTTACTTTACTTCCCCCTTTCAGTCCTGGATTGGGAAATCTCTCATAGTCATCGAATGTAAATGTTGCCAAATCTTCTGTCAAAGTCTGATGGACCTATTAATAATAAACAAGTTCTTTTTTAAAGGAATACATGAGTTGATCCATTTTAAATGCAGTCTGTTGTGGGACGGGTGGATCAATAATGATGTATGAATGAATGACTTAAACAATGACCAGATTGTGAAAGTATTGATTGTTATTCAATGTGCTCACTGAAAGCAGTCACTGTTAAGGACTGCTGAATATCCATGAAGATATCCATCAGAAATGTAATTATCCAACAAGTGAAAACACTGATAACAAACTGCTTTTAACAAAATGAATGGTGCCGTCAAAGTTAAGAATCCTCTGAAGACTTTAACTACCAAATTAGTTTTTGACAGTAAAATGATTTGTCTATTTGTTTTCTACATGTCACTAGTGAAATGTAGAAAACATTTTTAAATATTGCCAATAGTGATATTTTTTTAATCTTCGGAATCTCAAGGAAAGGAAAGACACAAAATAAAATGTGAAATGAGAAAGAAAGACACAAAACAACATAGAATTAGAGCTTGGAGTAAGCCATTAAGCTAGCGTCACTAATTATCACGTCTTTGTTTAATGATTTGCTGTGACTGAAGACATTGTTTTGGCTGTCAAAATGATTAACTAAGCTCATGACAAACAATATCAGGCAGCTAATTGGGTGGTCTTTAAAATGCACTCGGAACCTGTTAACTGTGTCTTTGTGTTGGCAAGATGAGACAGACGGTGAGACTTTACAGTTTGATAAAGACATTGGCAGCGCCTCTATACTGACATTGAAACCATCTCATTGTTGCTGTTAAACTTACTTGTTGTTGAATCCCTCCCCTGAACAGCGACTGTCTAATCATAGCTTAGCAGTGTCAGAGTCTGTCTTGATCTGTAAAACTTAACCACTTATCATTATGTTTAAAAAAAAAAACTCATCCTAAAAGCATTTCGCTTGTCATATTTAAATAAAACATTTTTTGAAAAATATAAAACATAAATAAGCAAAGGAAATAACAGTTTGATGTTACATTTCCTTATCATAATTATAATTGTAGAACTAGAGCTTTACAGTGAAATACAAGAACAATGCTGTTTCTTTATTTCCATGTATCATCAACAGGACATGCAGCTTTAGCCTTATTCTTTTAGCACAATTTTAATGAATATGTCCTTTGAGTTCATATTTAAGATCCATTTGCGGTGCCATGCCATTGTTCAGACGGCCCATTATTCTGAAACCTAATATTCCCAAAAGTGTGCAAAACAACCGAAGTCCCATGTTTCTGACAGCCTGTTATACCAAAAACAAAATGTTTATACTTCCGAAGGCCCATGGCTCCAAAACTACACACTCTCCCTGCAACAAACAGAACACATGGCTAATTATTATGCTAATGAGAGGGAAGGCATGACCCGCTCTACTCTGCCTCTGATTGGCTTACCCCGATGTTTTACCCTTACCAATCTCACTCCTCATGCCTAAATCCAACCAACCTAACCAACAAAGGCAACGAGTACTAGCCAGTCAGAGGCAGTGTAGGGCAGGTAATGACTTCGCCATAATAAGAAATAAAAAGTATTTCTGGAGCGATGGGCCTTCGGAAAACAATGAGCGTTTGTTTTTGGGGATAACAGGCTGACGCACAGACGGGCTTTCGATCCAATGGGACACTTTTCCAGCTATTGGGGTCCTGAAATAATGGGCCGTCGGAACAATGGACAGTCCCCCCAGTTACACTGGTCTCAACTGAATTGTTTGTTCAGCTAAAATCAGTTGCTGGTTAGAAATGAGAAGCATGCTTTTGTCTACCTCTGTCTGAAATCAAGTGCCTATTTACAGAATTAATGAGAGTTTTGAGTGTGATATCTGCCACCGGTAACGTTGTAAAGTGCACATGTGCTGTGTGAGGCCTAGCAACAGCAAATATGGGGGTTAATGTCTGTCGGGTGGAATAGCTGACCATTACACTTTTTACTCCACAGGCAGTCAACGGAGTCTCCAACAAGAACCCTTATCCTGCCCAGCAACTGTCAATCAACATTACAACCAATCAGGCCGGTGAGTGCGGAGTGCGAACGCTGTGTGCATGTACGTGCATGTATCTGTGTATGTGTGTGTGTGTAAGCACACCCAAGGGCACAGCGGATTATGCGAGGGAGGGATGGCAAGGGGGATAAAGGAAATTGAGCTACAGCTTTTTAATTCATAAAACATGGTATAAGCATGTCATCTCTCTCCCTCTGTCTCTGTATCTCTATCTCGTTGTCTGTCTTTCCTACACATCCACAGCTTTCATCCTGTTTTCCTTTTTCCCCCCTCTGCCTCTCTCTCTCTTTCTCTTTCTCTCTCTGTTCTCTTTTTCTCGCCTTCATCCCCTCTCCCTGCCCTCCCCCCTATGTCCCCCTTCTCTCCGTCTCTGACAGTGTAATTCTTAGAGACTATAAAGTGAGCCGAGTTACCGCTCCATCAATACTTTATAGAGACAGACACAAGTGATATCTTCACCGCTACCCAAATTTAGATTTAAAAGCCGCTTTGCTCTGATGGAAAACACATCATTTACCTCATCTACAGCAACCCAGGCTCATTCCTAATCGAAACATGATCCATTGTCACCCGGCCGCTTTCTGAGCGCATTTTTTACCACTGGCGGATGCAAAATGCTCTTATCCCTGAAATCTTTTAGTACTCAACAAAAACTGATTTATTTTCAGGTTGACTGCATTGGGGGGGGGGGGGGGGGGAATTATGCAATAGGTTTTAGCGTATTTCATGGGACCGTAGGATATGAAACTCACTCGACATGTAGAGAACCCTATAAAATGTCAATTGTGGCAATATTAAAAATGACTGAGCTTTCCAGGTACAGCGCGCTCACTCTGTCAAATTATGACTACAGAGGGAGATGAGGTATCGCAGCATTTACTGAGGATTATGGCAGCCCCATGGTGTCCTGATGACTCAGCTGTGTAAGATGGATACTTTCACAACATAACTTTGATCAATTGTATACTTGTTACTGGTGTTGTATCAATCTCTGTGTCTTGATTCCTTCCTCTCTTCACTGTATGCTGTGACGTGAAGTACAAATGTGATGAAAACCATCCCATAAAAAGATCTAGGAGGCAAAAACCATGAAATACGTTATAGCCAAGAGCTACTGGTTCCTAAAATTATGGGTGAAAATGTGTTGCAGATATAACTCTTGCTTTCCAATCAGTGACAAGTGCAGTAATTTGTTTTCATGAGCCTGCGTTGAGGAAACATTTTACCTCCTTTGGGTGTAAATAATCCTCGGCAATGTGTCATTACATTACACACAATATTTCCATATTTACAGAGTTCAAGCATGCTTGCGAATCTTCTAACTATCGATAATTGATTGTGTGTCCTTGCATGTGTTTTTTAACAGCTCCCTCACTAGTTCCCATAATGCACCAAGTGAGCTCAACGAGCCGCAGTTTCTCGTTGTCATGGCCACCGCCCGAGCAGCCCAACGGAATTATCCTCGACTACGAGATACGATACTGTGACAAGGTAGAGTGGGACGATGAACGTCTGTGAGTGTGTTTGTGTCTGTCTGCTTTCTTGGTGTTATGGTCACAGGCCATTAGAGTCGATAAAACGGGCAAATCAATATCGGCTACATCGAAGTCGTCTGTTATCAGGACTCACTGACGTGCAGCAACAGTCTCACTGCTTCAAACACGGTCAAGTACATCAGCTTGAAATAACTGTAAAGTGAACCTCCTGCGTGCTGTCTCGCTCAGTGCTGGTATGTTCATCTTCAGAGCCTCTCTTTATTCCACCACGCATTAATTGTGGGCGACTGTGGCTAAGTGTCTTTCAGGGCAGTCTTTCAATCAGAGGGTCGGCGGTTCAATCCCCGGCTCCGGCTCTGCTAGTCTCTGAGCAAGACACTGAGCAAGACACTTAACCCCAAAATTGCTCCCGTAGTTGTGCCTTCGGTATAGAAATGTGATAGAATCTGAATTGTAAGTCGCTTTGGATAAAAGCGTCTGCTAAATGACTGTAATGTAATTGTTGATTGGAGTCATGCAGCAATCTGTTCATTAATAAGTGTCTACAGCGGGATTCTGTCAACTGTAAGACTACATTGTGAAAGAAATGTGTATTAATTTATTTACTCTACAAAACCGTGTATGTTTCTCTCATGAACCAATGATGTAGTTTGAGGTGCCAAAGTTCCATAAGCTGTAACACACAATATGGAATTGAATTAGGATCTGTTGGCTCCGGAAGATCCAATTAAAACCATTTTATTGGTCAAGTAACTCACCTTGTGTGACTTGTGAAGGCCACACTTTAGTCAGAAGGCGGAAAAAAAAAACGATTATGGGCAATGATATAGACAAACATAAATTAAACCAAAAACATTTACTTCTGTTTCCATCCTAGCTGTATTATTAAATAATGTATGTTGATGACTGCAGGACATGAAACTATATGTTTTATAGCCGTTTTTTATAAATACAAGTCTTGTGTTTATATAAGAACAGCTTGGATGCAGTTCTTCACTGTAGGCTCTTCATGCTGATGGTTGCACATATTCCAAAGTACATAGGGAGGAATGTTAACAGTGTTTGTGGACTGCAGCTACCAATGTTGCCGTATTGTTTGTTGAGTGAAATTTCTTAAAGTCAACTCTTCAACTCATTGTTGATGTGGCCTTCAACGCACTGTGTTGAATTCAGTGTCTCATTATGTGCCAGAAGAATCCCAGGCCACCGATTGGTTAGCTTTACTTATGAAGTGTAGAGTCTTTCCTCCCAAATAGATAGACTCACCACCACAGAGAGTAGCACATCTCTGCAGGAAGATCTGTTTGTCTCAAGTTGCTGAGGTGGAAGGGAAACAATAGATATCCAAAATGACTAGTTGTATTCTCTTTGCAATTGACAATGCTCATCAGATTATTTTTTTATTTATTTAATCTTTATCTAATCAGGCGGTCTCATTGAGATTAAAATGTTTTTACTTCACAAGAAGCATTAACAAGAACACAATCAGCAGAACAGAAGGAGCACAACTACACGACACAATAATCAGGAATTAAAAGCAATTACAAGAATTATAATAATTAAACATCAGATAATGAAGCTTTCAAATCTCCAAGGTTAATGTCAGACTCTAGTTTGAGGACAGTTTGCACAAAAGGTTAAAAAGGTGCTTAGTACCTGAAACCAGTTCTGCCAACATTGGTGCATACTTAGGGGGGGTAGCCAAGGCTAGGTCGATACTGGATTGTGTCCTGTACCAGATTTAAATGAGTGAAGAGCAGTGAGGTAGTTTGGAAGCTTGAACAGTAGAGCTTTATAGATAAAGAACATGAGATGGCTATTTCTCCTTGACTGTCTTGACTGACAGGAGGTCCATCCAACCGTATGATTCAGAGAACAATGATGAGTCTGAAAGTGATGATACAAGGGGTTTAACAGCTGAAGTGAAGTGAATACAGAATAGCTGCATAGTCAAAGACAGACATGAATGTTTAATTCTAAACTAAAAGCCTAGTTTGATTTTTTAATTATTGCGTCAAGTGTTGAATATGAATCTTGAATGACTGATGGACAGAAAGGTGCTTATTGAGTAGTGCCATTATGTCCTTCTACCAAACTATTTGGAAGTTAGCTTTATCCTTCCCACCTTGGACCACTGTGCAAGAGGGACTTCCACTACTCCTCCATCCATCCATTTTTCTCTGCTTCTCCGGGGCCGGTTAAAGTAGTCCAGACCTCCCTCTCCCCAGATACGTCTTCCAACTCCTCCTGGAGGATCCCGAGGCTTTCTCAAGTCATATGAGATATATAATGCCTTCAGCGTGTTCTGGGTCTTCCCCGGGGTTATCTTTCAGTTTGACGTGCCCAGAAAACCTCCAAAGGGAGGCGCCCAGGAGGCATTCTTAACAGCTGCCCAAACCACCTCAACTGGTTCATTTTTAATGCACAGGAACAGCGACTCTGCTCTGATCTCCCTCCAGATGTGTGAGTGCCTTACCCTATCTTTAAGGGCTTTTTTTTTTTTTTGTGTTTTACAAAAGACAATAAACTGTGAATGTGATGATGAAAATGTCACTCCACCGCTTTTTGCTGTGTATATCAGCACCTTGAGAGCACAGGAAGATCTTTCTATCCCCCGAGCTGAATCACTTAAAGACAAGAAGACCGAAGCACAAATTTATTCGCTAGTGGATGCTGCTGAAATCAAAACTCCTACCACGCTGCTCTGTGAGAGTGTCTGACTGAAGCCTCCAGCTGTCCTGTAGTGAACAAGGTCCTAGCTGTATGAACCAGGAGAATGAGACATAAAACACTTCACTGCAAGGGTCCAGTGATCAAACTCGCCTGCACAAACCCGGGGCACCAATGAGGGCCTCTGATTCAGGGGTGAAACATGCAGGACCTGATTGCTTTCCCAATAAAGACTGCTGCTCCAGGACAGGAAAAAAACTCCAAAGAAAGGACATATCTTGTCTTCTTTATAATTCAGTCGCAATGTATTGGAAGGACTGAAAGTTAAATTAAAAGCATATCTCTATCACCCAAAGCTAAACATAAGAATATCCTCATCTGTTCTGAAGCTGAGCCAAAAGCCGCAAATAACAGATAGACTTTCACTGCAGACAGATTAAAAAGAAAGAGCAAAGCACCTGCAAGGGATTGTGTGACTTACACCAAAAAGAACAACATGCCTCCTCATCCACAGCCCACGTTTGATTTCCTGCCATCTAGCTTCCCCCTTTTTACAAAGCAGAAGAAAATAGTTTTGGGCATTTTTTTGGGATACCACTGCTAGTCCCTGTGCTCATTTCTTTCTTTTTAATACATGCTGTCAGTGAGTTGGTGCTTCCATAACTCACTAAATTTCTTCGATACAATCATAACTACAAACTGTAAATGCTCAGGACTGTTGTCAACTCTCACAGTTCTAGAGTCCATGACTCCAGAGGGCTCGCTCACAGATTCCAATTTTACAGCACAACATAGTGTCGTGTGTGGCTATAGGTTCACTGTGCTGCACAAGGGAAAGCGAGAGCGTGTGTCGTTTTCAAAGTTTGCCCTTATGTAGTATGTTGATGCTTTTGATAAATATTCAATGTTCAGCCAAATCAGGTAATAATTTATTAATACTGTTATATGCATTAAGTATGCTTAGTATAGTGTTTTGATCCTACAGATATGTTACCCTTATTGCCTCATTTATGATTACAGATTATATTCAAACCATGCTCTTTCCTGTCTTCCTCTCACAACGAGCCTCGTAACTGATTTTCTTTTGTGAAGTGCGATTCAAAAAGATCTTTCAGAGCTCATTGACTGTTATTGCAATTACTGAAATACATTCATGTCATTATCAGAATGTGGTGTGTGTTCAGAGAAGAACTATTGCAGATTGAACTTTGCAGAACTCGCTGTAGTTCAAATATTAAGCCTCGCCTGTCCTCACCAGATAAACAGGAGCATTGTTGTTTGTTGAAGCTCCTAAACATTTATGATGTTTGAATTCTCCTGACAGCTAAACTTTTGTGATGATTGCAAACAGTGACTGTCCTTTCTTAGAGTAGCTTGACATTATTTTGCTGTTTTAGGAAAAGAAGCTAAGGTGGAAAGTTGGATGTGCAAAGTGTCTGTCTTTGTCAGCAGAAACCACAGTCTCTCCGTCCAACAGCCAAGACTGGTTTCTGTCCTTTACCTCAACTATAGAGGTGGCATCTCAGAATACACTCTAATGACGATAATGAAACAGTCATTTTAGAAGGCATTGAACAACAATTGTGTTGTTGTCACATGAGGGCTGGAATGATCGTGCACAGTAAAAGCCACTTGGTAAAAGGGGGAAATTTAACTTAATAAATCACATATTGGAACATTAGATGAACAAAAAAGCACAATACGGGGTCCTTGCAACATTGTAAATCTCATTTTTACTGCACCTGGTGCGGTTATGTCAGTATGTCAACATGAAAATGGCAAATTTCGGACATGTACTTTAGTCATAAAGATATCTGCACCGAGTCGCCACTCATTGCAATGCCGTGCTTTTTGAAGAGCAGCTGTTGGATAAAAACTGCATTCAAACATGAATATTATGTTCATGCTGCAGAGACTGTCTGAATCTATCGGACCCTGTGCACAATGCTATAAGACACCATCGAGAAAGCTCACGCTTCTAGCGATAATTAACATAATAGCAAAAAAATAAAAGATGTTGCGGGTAACAGGGGTGTGACGTGTAAAACATGAAAGAATAAAAATGCATGCCCCGGGGTGGGGGTGCTGCACCTAGCGTCGATGGTGCTACTTTGCACAGTTTGTGTAAAAGTTCCAGGGATTAACAGAGAGAGAAAGAGAAAGTTGACACTCTGCCTCGCGGAGAGCAATTCGATTGAGTTCGAGTTCGAGTTTAGGACAGAGTGAAAAGAACTGCACTAGAGAGATGTACTGTAGCTGCAGTCTGACAGTCACAGATAAAACACTTACATTGTCGAAATCAGGGCAGCGACTTTACTGTAAGCCGGCCTTATTTGCTGCTGCCTTTGCTTTAACATTATTTAACATGGAAGCTAATAAAGACCCAGAATCAAAAGCTGGCAGTTAAGTTATTTCATTGTTTCTTCTTTTCATTGTTCTTCCTTGATACACATCTGACGAAGGGGGAAATAATGCATTTTACAAGCTAACCACTTAAAGTGACTAATTTTAGCTCATGGCTTCAAGTGAAGAATTCCTCGGGGAGCAGTTTGATAAGCCTGGCGAAAGAGAGCGTTTCACCAGACAGCTGTGCTGTATCTCCTTTTCTCATAATTTTCTCCACCTGCCTTCCCTCCCATCTCCTCCATCCCTCCCTCACCTCCTCCTCCCCTCATAGCCACTCTATAGATAATGAGGTTTTAATGTTGTATATTTGATATGGCACAGTGAGGCAGGATTTTTCCCCACTACTTATCTCTGGCTTCCAGACCTTCCCAGATGGGTTGCCCTCTAACCTTTTCACTGTGGCAAGCCCCCTCCACACACACACACACACACACACACACACACACACACACACACACATCTCCAAATCCAAACCCCACCCCAACACAATACCCCAATTTCTGTGGCCTCTTCCAAATATAACTATTATTATCTCCCAGGTTTCAAAATTGCAAACTGTGTACTTGTCCCTGTGTTGTGCGTCCTAATTATGACAGTAGGAATCTGCCTGGTCATAGTGGAAAATATATCAATAGTGCAGTTAAAGAAATCAGAGCAAAATGATGTTTAATACAGTATATTAAGATGCTGTAGGTAACAATACTACATGACACAAGACATCTTGTATTTTATAGTAACAAAAAAGACAGCCACAGTAATGAAAACTCAGCCATCTTTAACCCCTTTTTATTCATGTGCATGTCCTCTTTTGAAAACCCTCCCACTTATTCTCTCTTTCCACCCCCAGCGCTCATTTTCTTTAGGCTCTTTTCCCTCCTGAACTCTCCGCCTCATCATCTCTCTTCCTCTCTTCTTTGCTCTCCCGTCGACCCCGCCACCTCCTTCATCCTCACGGCATGATTCCCTCCACCATCCTTTCATGCCATCACCACACCATATCTGTCCTTCCCTTCTGGACAGTTTCGATCTTGCTGCAATACAAACCTTTTTTATTTAAAAGGAATGGGTGAGAGGAAGCATAGGAGGAGGGCCTGGAATGATAGCGGTAAAAGGTTGTAGCTTTGGCTTCATCAGATAGGCCTGATAAGGCCTGATGCCAAATTTACCTCAGGAGGAGGAGTCTGTGAGCAATAACTAATTATCACTTTGTTATATCTGAAGGAGATGGAGGAAAGAACGGGTAAAAGAGGACGAGATTTAAGAGGGTTTTTTTTTTTTTTTTCAAAGTATGAAGAAGTAGTTGTGGACAAAATTACTTTGATTGATGATTTTATTTTCAACTTAAGTGGTGTCTTGCATTGCAAAATGTTTTGGTGCAAAGGCTTTTAATCTTGTCACTACAGTAAAATGGAAGTGAATACAACTGTGTGCTGTTTGTGCTGCACAAAACATTGAACAATGACATTTTGTAGGATTTGATGGCAGCATGACCTTCCAGAAACAATGGTCTTGTATCTCTGAACTTACTTTTACCAGTTTTTATAGGAACAACTTATTTAGTAGACTGTAGTTCACATGAAAGCTTTTCACACCAGGGCTCGATTAGCCGGAGTTAAGATGTACAATATTTCTGCAACGACAACTTGCTGTTGAGTTTTTTTAAAAGCCATTTTAAACCATGGCAAGGTACCACTTATAGAGTCAGTTACCAGCAGCTGTAAGCTGAAAATCATGTCTCTTCAGTGGTTTCTCACCTTGCTGCTCTGATGTAGAAGTTAACTCCTGCCTATGTCTGTACACCATGAAATGACTGTTAGATGTGGTATCAGATGCAATCTTCTGGCCACACCCATCAGTGATGCTGGATGTGAGCAAATTAAACATATTGTATCACTCAACGCCAGTGGTGTTCATGTGTCGAGGTTTTAAGATATGCCCCTTCTTGAAACTCCTGCCCCACCCCAGTACGTTGAGTGTAAATCGATTTTGTTATGCTGCTCGAAATACTCAGAAATATAATTTGGAAAATACAACATGACCCGGTCACTCTGGATAATCACACAGTTCTCTGTGAACTGTTTTCTTAATGACTTTCCTTCAGTAGAAAATGATGAGGTTTGTGGATTATTCTGAGTAACTGGGACAATATTTTTGGAAAAAAAAGAATCATATTTATATATTTATATATTTATATAATATTTTTTTTATTTTTTTATTTGAGCACCACAAACAAAATTCCATTCACTTACATTGTGTCGGTGTGAAGGCAGATGTCTCCATATGGACAAATAAAAGCCAATATAATTCTATGAATAGACGACCAAGGGTAAGTGTGAATTAAGACAAATGGATGGATGGATGAGTCGCTCAGAAACAAAATTGACTGAGGGTATTTGGACTGTTCTTTTTTACTGTTGGAAATGGACAATGACAAAAAATGTGATAGAGGCTGGCATAGTTTGACAAGATGAATGAAAAATCTTTGGAATAATGAATCTTGTTTTAGCTGAAGGCCATAACTGAGTACTAAATTTAGTCCCTCTCAGTCAGTGACTGATGAAGTGTTATGGTCTGTCTTGGCTTGCTGTGAGACATATTCATCCCTCTCTCAACCTCCTCTTCAGTCCCTGTCGTCAGTGCAGAACAGTTCAGTGGTCCTGAGCAAAACACCCAATGTTGTTCTGGAGGGTCTGAGGCCGGGGACCGGCTACATGGTCCAGGTGAGAGCCCGCACTGTGGCCGGCTACGGATCCTACAGCAAGGAAATGCTCTTCCAAACGCTCACCGACGGTAAGTGGGTGGGTGGTGTGTGGAGGTGTGTGTGTGTGTGTGTGTTGGTGGGGGTTTTATAGTGGAGAGGAAAGAGAGTGCAGGACTGAGAGGAGGAATGTTCGAGGTGGAGCAAGAGTGAAAATCTGGTGGTGAAGTAATTAAATTCTGCCCTACTTTGTGTGTGCATGAATTTGGGTCTTGCAGTCATGTAAAATGAGCCATGTAAATGCTAATTTATGTGTGTGAGAGAGAGAGAGAGATATATAGAGAGAGAGAGAGAGAGAGAGAGAGAGAGAGATATAGAGAGAGAGAGAGAGATATATAGAGAGAGAGAGAGAGAGAGAGAGAGATATAGAGAGAGAGAGATATATATATATATATAGAGAGAGAGATATAGAGAGAGAGAGAGAGAGAGAGAGAGAGAGAGAGAAACTGTGTGTATATTTTCCATTCCAGAAATACTCAGTTGTGTTTATGTAAGAGAGTCTAAAAAAATAGAAAGATAATACTGTGGCTGATTGTGTGTTTGTGTGTGTGTATGTGTGTTTGTGTTTCTGCAGATGAGTATAAGTCAGAGCTGGGACAGCAGCTCTCCCTGATTGCAGGCTCTTTAGTGGGTGGAGTGTGTATCGTCTCATTGGTAGCTATCGCCATCATCTGTACCAGGTAACGCACACATACACACATATAAAAAAATAACAAGGTGTGAAAATGTGGCTATCTGCAGTGTCAACACTCTGTATCCCAACAACGTATTGGCCCTTTTCACAGAGGACATTTTGATTGTCATGTAGGCAAAGCACAGGTGTTACTAATAACATTATCAGTGGCTCCTTTCTATTCAAGTGTCATAGCATGTCCTGACAGTGTGACAGTGAGCCAGCATGCACAATACCCAAATCCTGAAAGTGAAGCAGCTAAATTGGAATTCACCCATCATTCATTGACGCAAATTGTGACGATGATTCTTAATTCAGATTTCATTCACAAGCATTTTCCAGAGCTTTTTCAACCACACCTCACGGCCTGGAAGCTCAGTCACGTGATAGCAGGTGTAGAATCCCCACCGCCCCAAACACAAGACCATCTGTTATCATGTGAAGCTACATACTTTGGCCGTCAGTTTATAACTGAGCCTTCTCTATGAGAAGCAACACTGTGAGACGTGGATGACAGGTAGTAAGTGCACCTTGAGTTAAGAGCTTAATTGTCCATAATAATGTTACCAAGATCAAGGTTAAACTTTCACATCAATCATTATTATTGCTACATTATTGTTTATGTCATTGATACTGTTTGCCTACACATTAAATAAGACCTACTGTTATAATGCATTACACTAAAACATTTTAATATAATGCAGATGAAAATGCCCCTGTAGGAGAAAGTATTTCTAAGCTGGACATGGCAAATATTTAAAATGAGTTGATAATAGAATTTGTAATTATTAAAATTGCAATTTTTGAACAATGACAACATGGCTTTGCACAAAAATGAGTTTCTGTGACCTCCCAGATATAGCACAACCAATTAGCATTTCTAACTTTTGTGCAACATTTCTGTCTGCTTGCCTTTTTTCCCAAATCTCTCCGTTTGTGTTTGTGACTGCAGAAGAAGGCAGTGTAAGGAGAGTGTGTACGGTGACAAGCTGCAGCAGTACAACGCAGGAGGAGGTATACGACCAGCACTGAAACTTTAATAGAACTTTAACTTTATACACACCAAACTTCTAAAACAGCGTTTATGTTTACACTTTTTTACTTTGTTCCTCAGAGGTGACTCTGAGGCCTGACATGTTCAGTGGTCCCACCCCCACGGTGACCTTTCCCACGATGTCTGAAGGCCATAGTTCACCGGGGGTCAAGATCTACATCGACCCCTTCACTTACGAGGACCCCAACGAGGCTGTTCGGGAGTTTGCCAAGGAAATCGACCCCTCCTGTGTCAAAATAGAGGAGGTCATTGGATCAGGTAGAGATTTTCATAGACTTAGTGTCTTTGACCCACGGCTTGCCCTTCTTTTCTCTCTCATGTTGTTTCTATAAAGTGTTCAATATTAACTCAACAGCTACCTGAAATGAAAATCCATGATTATTTCAGTATGTTTCAATTATCACAGTGAATTCATTCACAAGAGCTTTTGTTCAAGAGTAAGATAAAAATCAAATGTACGGTCCATGTTCATATATGTTATAAACTGCCTCAAAATCTAAATTATAGAAAAGAAAACCCTGGTTTCTTCTAATGAGACCAACTGTCACTTGAAACAGCAGATAGTCTACAGTAAATTAATACATTTCTTCAACTGTGCCAGACATTTGTGTCAATGGAAAAGATCTGGAAACATGCAATGTCAGTTTATTATTTTTGCTTTATTTCTTTCCTTTGAAGTCAGGAGAGATGTTTTATTCATGCTGAAAACTTTCACAGGAATAAATTAAAACTGCCTTCGTGCATTCTCTTTGGCTATCTGATCTGAACTATAAAAATGCTGTGTGAAGTTTGGCAAATAGAGAAATGTGGATGTGAAATGGAGTCCCAGAGCATCCTCTGAATTTTTTGGGGGGACAGAGTTTTTGCTTTCAGATGGGAAAAAAGATGGAAGTAAGGTACAAAAAATACGGACATATTTTAAAGTTGCTAAGATGAAATGCCTTCTTTTACCACTGATCCCTGAGTACTGCAACTATGCAACATCTTCAATCATTTCACTCAAAATGCAGGAAAAATGTGTCTATCAAGAATGCAAAATACTTGAGAACAACCTTGGTACTTGGTTGCCGCGGACAGACCCCAGGTCTAGCTTTGCTGCTGCCTTCGACCTGCAGTCGGAGCTCCGGCCAGAGCAGGAGAGCTCGGCGCACAGCAGCAGCATCTCTTCCTCCAGCCAGGAGCAGAGCTTCCACCCTCTGCTACTCCGGTCCCCACCGGGAACCAACACTGACATCGCGGCACTCCTGGCACAGAAGAACCAGGAGTCAGCGGAGCAGACTGGCAGACCCTGCCACAGTAGAAATGAGAGGTTTTCTAAAGGGACTCTAGTGCTCGGAAACGCTACCACTTTCATCCACAGGCAAAGACAAAATTGACACAAAGTGAGAGTTTTCTTTGGACCAAAACCAATCTAACCCAAATGGCCATGGAGCTCTCGGTGATAAAGGTCATGAACTAGACTCAGACCCTCACCGCTGTGAGTATGTGCTTTCGGCTTTGGTCTGTTGAGCCGCTCTGAGAGGCTTTCTGTAATCCCTCCGTTTCTCGCTTTATTTCTCTCAGGGGAAGGTTTCTCACCTCAGCCAGAGGTGACAGAGGAGGGATGAAAACAACGGGTAGGGAGAGGAAAATATGAACCGGGTGATATGAGATGTGGCCGGACTTTGAGCCTTAAACTGTTGAATCTCTCCCATTCTGCTTTGGTAGAAAGTAAAAATATATCCACATCTCTTTCAATGGTTTTCCCCCCTCTCCAACTTTCTCCTTTGTTTTTCCTTCTGTATTTCTTTGATACTTCCTCTTATTTTCATATCTCTCTATGATTCAGCCCCTGTGGAGTTTTAGAGTTTGTTTGCGTAGAGAGAAATGCTAAAACAAAGAACCAAGGGGGGGAAAAAGCAGAACAACAGATTGAGGAGGGAAGATAAAAGAGGAAGGCACCCTTAGGAGATGATAAAAATATCTCACCTCACTTTCTCTTACTCTGTCTCTCTCCGTGATAACACTTCTCTCTTTTCTTTCCTTGTTACTATCACTCATAAATGTTCCTCATAAAAAGCACTTTAAGCGCTGAAACACTTTAATTTACAATAGAAACAAGCGATAACATCTCCCCTGACAGGCCAGTTAATTTACTTAGACTGTGTTTAGAAATACAGGAGATTTAAGACAAGATTTTAGAATAAAACCAATGACTAATTCTTGTAATGCTCCATCTTCCCATTGACCACCTCTATTTTAAAAAAAGAGGAAGTGACATGTCACCTGATCTCACTTCTATCTTCTTCCGTCCACACTTCCTTCCATCTTCTCTCGTATTTTAAATACTGTCTCATTTCCATCCATCGCTCTTTCATTTCTTCACCCTCTATCCCTCCTTCCTCGCCCCATCCTCTCTTTCCATTCTCCCTCTTATTTTGTCCTCCATCCATCTCTACTTCAGGTTGATTTACAACAGTGACAATAGATCGTTTTTAATGAGCAGTGAGATGTGGAGCAGAGATCACAGACAGGACGACACAGCCTGTCATCCAATTCCCATCACTCATCCATTGTTCACACATGATTTATATCTCTGAGATGACGACTTTTATTTTGAAGTGATATTCAATTTTCACGTCCCAAAGCAGCATATGGCTGCATTTATTTTGACAAAAGACATATGTGTCTCCAGCACTGTAGGAAATTGTCTGTACATTGAATAAGTTCAAGACATATCTTTGGCTTTGTAACCGACTACAACCAACCAATTCATAGCATGCATTCTCATGCTATGCTCTCATTCTCACTCTGCTTTCACTTTTCCAGTGAACAAACGAGTACAATACTATGAATGTCTGTAAATGTGCGTCTTAATTCCAGTATTTAAATGACATCGCCACCCTTCTCTATGATACCCGTCTTTTCATCTGTTGTCTAGATGGCTGTTCAGTACAACTATCTACAACAATCTAGTTCTAATTTAGCATAACCCGACCCTTAAGTCTTCTTTGACTCTGGTGGATCTTTTTTAAAGTCTGACAAAAAAACAACAGATGGTGTCATTATTGGGAAATAGCTAACTAGCCTACCAAGCTGACAAAAGGCATACTATGCGACAACAGGGACCTCAGTACAGGTAATGAATGCACCAGGGAACATGAACAGACTTAGAAAACTGCTTAGCCTACAACATTAAATTAAACTGCAGGCGGAGATTGAACATATAAACATTTGTCTCTTTATCCATGAGGTCACCTTGCTTCCTTTGTTTAAACTGCGAGAGGAAACTTAAGGTGTGGTGTGCAAAGCCAAATACCTTTGCAATAATAAAGGCATTGTCCCTTTTATCTTGTTTGCCACCCCTGCTACAAACCTCTTATTACCCCCGAGAGGAGCTATTGAGGGGATTCGATTTTTGTTGTTCTTTCGGACTACAAAAATACCATCAATGTCCCCTTTACCAAAGCCCTCAACCTCAATCTGCTTGAGCAAAGCTGCTCAAAGGACATCAGTATGAGACCGAGGGCGGCTTTTGCAGTCACTAAACCTGCACAAATAAGACAAAAAGAAACTCAAATAGCTCGATCGGGTATCAGTGATGATAGGCCGAAATACATTTAAGCCCTGCCACGTTTATATTCCTTGCTTGAAGTTTTGAGGAAGGCCTCTTTTTTCTGCCTACTGTGTTCTTAGCGCAAAGTTAACATTTTTACTTTGCCACATAGATAATTGCAATCAGATGCAAAAAAAGGAAAGTTGCACTGAGCTGCAAAACTTTATGGATGTGTTTGTGCTGTATGGGGGCAGATAGCGGTTCATTCATTGTGCTATTGGTGGCCGCAATGTATTCTTTGTGAATTTGTCCATTAGGGTGCAGAGGGCAGCTCCCATGACTGAGAGAGTGTTTATGTCTTTACCTTTCTCGCTACTGCCCAACTCAGCTGCTGCAAAGGACAATGTGCTCCTTCTCGTTTGATCGATGTAGAGTTTTTAATAATGAATGGTCACCAAATAGTTTGAACTTCAGCCCACCTGATTTCTCAGCCTGGTGACTCATTTCTACATCTGAAAATGGGATTGAAATGGAATTATTTATTCACCAATTTTAATATGTAATAATTTATTTCAACATTTTGAATTCAGAGAAGCATTACAAGAAAAGCCATCCCCAATAATGGACTTGTATTTTCCTGCTGAGTCACATACTGTTTCTGAAGAACTTTGAATGTAAACTGTACCTTTTTCATTTAGCTTTAAAGCTTTAATGTCAGCCACATAATGTTTTTTTCTTCTTCAGGTGAGTTTGGGGAGGTGTACAGAGGTCGCCTGAAGCCTGCTGGGAAAAAAGAAATTCCTGTGGCCATCAAGACCCTGAAGATTGGTTACTCTGAGAGGCAGAGGAGGGACTTCCTGTCCGAGGCGTCAATCATGGGCCAGTTTGACCAACCAAACATCATCAGACTGGAGGGCGTCGTCACCAAGAGCAGGCCTACGATGATCATCACAGAATTCATGGAGAATGGAGCACTTGACTCGTTTCTCAGGGTAAATACTGTACACACACGCACATGTCTATTTGATATTTAAACAGTGTCCTGCTGAACTTTATTTAATATGAACAATATCATAATTTTTGCAAAATGGCTTAGAAACATTACATAACGTATGTGTTGATGTTTTTGCCTACAGTATCTATATACACACTTTTCTTCAGTTCAAAATCACCCGTTGTCCAAATACATAGATACCTAAACGGAGAGACAGATGGAAAGGGGAGTAGAGGGAGTTTTTTGAGAATGGGACTCAAAGACAGAAACAACTTCCTGCTCTTCTTTTTCTCCTCTCTTTTCTGTCCTGCGCTCTTTCCTCCTCATCCTGCGAGGATGTCTGTCTGTCAGTCTGTTCGTCTCTTTGATCCTGGCCTCCTTCCGAGGTGCCGAGACAGAGAGAGAAACTCTTTGATGTTTGGTTCTCACAGCGTGACCCCTTTTGACTCAGAAATCATCCGCTGACTCATGCACACACACACACACACACACACACACACACACACACACTCACACAATGATCGATCTCACTGGTGTTGCTGTCCTAGCGTGACCATCTTGCAGGCACAAGACCCAGAGGATCAATGTGTGGTCGTGTGGGTGTGTGCGCGTGCATGCGTGTGTGTGTGTGTGTGTGTGTGTGTACCGAAGAAGGTTTTGCCTGCAGAGGATTAGGCTAGAAGAGCATCAAAGGCGAGGTTTGATGCACAAAGTGAATTAAAAGGCGTACGCACACACCTTTGTCTGAAAGTATGTCAGCAGGGATGTTTATAAGAGACTTTTTGGCCCAAAGGTGAAAAGAATAAAATAGCCAAAAGGTCAACGTGTCTCCTAACTACAACAAGCCTCCAGCTCCTCGAAATGTGTATTTATTTTCTGTTGATTTCCAATCTTCAGATTATAGGATGAACCACTTTTACATCATATTGAATACTGTACATCTTTAGGACAGTGAACAATTATCAATGAATGTTATCAAAGTCCCTGTTTAATAATTCCAGCTTAAAAAACATCTTTGGCCAACTGAAATATTCTTCAAGGGGAAACAGCATTATTAAAGAGTAACTGCACACTTATACATATTTTTCAAGCTGTAAACAAAATGATTTGACTGTACCATGGTGAAACACATCAATGCGGGTGTTCATTTTGACATTTCTCATCACATTTATAAAAATTGCCATTTCATGGTTGAAAGTGGCTCAAATCTTAATTATCTTGCGAGGCCATTTTCTGAGATAGAGTCGACCGTTTGGGACTAATCATGAAATAAAATAATGCTAATGCCCTCTAATCAGACCGCCTCACCCCATAGCGTCTATCGTTTTTTTACTTTTTCCGTAACCACTGTGTAGCATTACAGTCACAGCACAGCACAAGCCTGTTCACTCATTGCTGTTGACTGGAAATTAAGCCATCAGCACATCACACAATCTGGTGAATCAGTTTTAATAATGAATGAATTATCTCTCTGGTGATAGCAATCGGCTTTCATATGCTGTGACAAGTTCAAGTTGCTACTGTCACGACAGTTTGTCTCTCAAGTTATAAGTTATATAATTATAGAAAGTGGTATATTGAATCTTTAAAATGTAATACTGTTTGTTAAAGTTAAAACATGAAAATCACATTTCCACACCACCAGCAATCTGCAGACTGTGTTTCTATGCTCCTTTTTCACGTCACCTTAATCACATTACAGCCACATTTTGTAACATGTAGCTGTCATCTGGTTTGAAAAAAAAGGTACTTTTTTCCTCCCAAAATTGTTTGTTATAACTCCTGTATGTGAAATGCTGACATATATTTGACTTTCTCAAAATAACTACATGTAAGTGAAAAAGTCTGATAACGGAAAAATATAAATAATCCTGTCACGGTTCATGGTTTTGCAGCAAAATGACGGGCAGTTTCCAGTGATCCAGCTGGTTGGTATGCTGAGGGGCATCGCGTCTGGAATGAGGTACAAAAACACACACACAAAAACACACACACACACACACACACACATACTCACACTCACTGCTGCTACAGAAATCCATATTTACTATAAAGATGAAGAAGAAACTTTTTTCAAACATTTCAATGAAATTACATTTTTTTATTTAACAATACCAATTTTACCATATTCAATCCAATCCATTTTGTTGAGCCGAAAATCACAAATCACAAATTTGCCTCCAAGGGGTTCACAATCTGTAAACATGTGACATCCTCTGTCCCAGGACCCTCACATCGGTACAGGAAAAACTCCCCCCAAAAAAACCCTTTAAGAAAAGAAAAGAAGAAACCTTAGGGAGAGCAACAGAGGAGGGATCCCTGTCCCAGGATGGACAGAAGTGCAATAGATGTCAGGTGTACAGAATGAACAACATAACAGAGTTACAACACATTCAATGCACATGATGTAATGATTCATATTATGAGAGTACTAATAATAACAGCAGCAGTGAATATAATATAACAATGATAACAAAAACATTAATGGTATCGGTAATAGTCATAGTAATGTGACTAATAATGATGATAGTAGCAGTGGGTGTCAGCTGGGCCACGGCAGGAGGCACGACCATGGTCCAGATATAACCACGATCCAAAAGCACAAAGACTCCTGGGAAGAAGCAAAGTTAGTAATGTGAGTTAATGGGAAATGAATTCATGCAGAAGGAGAGAGAGAAGAGGAGAGAGGAGCTCAGTGTATCCTAGGAAGTCCCCCGGCAGTCTAGGCCTCTAGCAGCACATCTAGGGGCTGGTTCAAGGCAAACCTGAGCCAGCCCTAACTATAAGCATTCTCAAAAAGAAAAGTCCTAAGCCTACTCTTAAATGTGGTGAGTCTGCCTGACCAATTAGGGCTTTGCAGGTGAGGAGAAGGATTGAAGTAACAAATGCATGAACACATTTTTCTGCATTGCTTTGAGACAGGATGTGCCTGATTTTTTTAAATGTTACGTAGGTGAAAAATGGCAGTCCTTGAAATGTGTTTATCTGTTAAAGTACATATCCTGATCAAAGATAACTCAGAAATTGTTTACAGTGGTGCTGGGTCATTAGATAATTGATTTCGGAGGTGTTAGGCTATGTAGAATAACTTCAGTTTTGTCTGAATTTAACATCAGGAAGTTGCAGGTCATCCAGATTTTTATATCCTTAAGGCATGCTTGAAGTTTATTGAACTGGTTGGTTTCATCTGGCTTGATCGATTGATATATTTGGGTATCATCTGCATAACAATTAAAGTTTTGGGAGTGCTTTCTAGTGACATCTAGTGTAGAAGCTTTTGCTTAATGGCATACACTCGGTAGTAAAAATTCTAAAGTTTTTAGGTAATGGTCCGATAAAAGAGGGCTCTGTGGAAAGTCTATTAAATGTTGTATTTTAAGGCCATATGCCAGAACGAGGTCGAGGATGTGGTTAAAACAGTGAGTGGGTTTCTGTACACTCTGACAGAAGCCAATCGAGTCTAATAATGAGATAAATGTACTAGTACTAACAGTACTAAGGCTGTCATTATAGACGTCTACATGAATGTTAAAATCACCTTCAATAATCACTTTATCTGTTTTAAGGACTAAACTTGAGAAGAACTCTGAAAATGTCGATAGGAATTCAGAATAACACTATAACAAATAGAATTGGCTGTAGTGTTTTCAAGGTTGGGTGTGAAAGATTAAGAACAAGGCTTTCAAATGAGTTACAATATCATTTAGGTTTAGGGTCTATTAATAGGCTTGATATTGAGATTTCAAGTGATGATATCGTACACTGTCTGGTCTGTCAGCAGATATCTCTTCTCTCCCACACACACACACACACACACACACATACACATGAACAAACACAAGTCTATTTATTTCAATAGGAGTGCCACAAATTATTGGCTTGGCAGCTGGAAACTGCTCACACATGCACACACACACACTCACTAGATCCTATCTGTGTTTTATTGCAGGTATCTGGCTGTGGTAGCACACAAATGTGTGTACATGTGCACAGACATTAAATCCCATTCCTATTTCATCAAAGGTGGCTGGAAGTGATAACACACACTGACACGCCCGCACACTGAATCCCATTTGCTTATTTTTGTAGCCCAGGTAGCTGGCGATGGATAACACACACATCCACACAATAAATCCTGTTTATGTAACAGGTACCTTGCGGAAATGAGTTATGTTCACCGGGACCTGGCTGCTCGGAACATCCTGGTCAACAGTAACTTGGTGTGTAAGGTGTCTGACTTTGGATTATCCCGGTATCTGGAGGAGGACACCTCTGACCCCACCTACACCAGCTCACTGGTAAGGACTCGCACACCAAGATGAAATTGTCTCACAGGAGGCATTATCAGACTTAGTACTGTGGGATGCATGTGTAGGTGTTCAGAGTGGAACTAAACAGCAAATGAGTTTCCATTGCTTTCTTTCCATCATTTATCTTCCTCTCTCTTCTTGCCTTTTCTCTTCATTTTCTCTCAGGGTGGTAAAATCCCAGTGCGGTGGACGGCTCCAGAGGCCATCGCCTACAGGAAGTTTACGTCGGCCTCAGATGTCTGGAGTTATGGCATCGTGACCTGGGAGGTGATGTCATATGGAGAGAGGCCTTACTGGGACATGAGCAACCAAGATGTGAGTCACTGCGTGTGTGTGTGTGTGTGTGTGTGTGTGTGTGTGTGTGTGTGTGTGTGTGTGTGTGTGTGTGTG